CAGATCTTTCTTCTGTACCACATTAGTTTATTTTTTAGCACCTTCTGGTGAATGACTTCGCTTAAATTTTTATGGAAAACTGCAATTTAGTCTATTTCCCTAGATGGATCATTCTTTCCAGTATTTCCATGGACTTCTTTTTTTTTGATAATTTTAGGAAATTTGTGAGGCATGATTTATTCCTCATTATAACACATTTTCCATCTCTTTATACGATCATGTATGTATTATGGCCTCACATAATTTTCATGCTACATTTTGCATACTGCGCAGAAGGGTGTATGGTATAAAAGAGGGAAGATGGGAGGATTCATTCTATTCTTACTTTATACACACACAGGAGTAAATCTGGGTAAGCAGCTGAATAAAAACAATGTTGCAACTAAGTTAAAGAATAATAGTGAAGGAGAAATGGTCAATCTTGAGCTAGAAGTGAAAGCAAGAAACTGAAGAAATTCTTTTCTGCCCCAAATGAAAGTCTGACACTAGAGTTCTGCACTCTACTGGATGAAGACTTTTAACAAGATGTTTCTCGCAGACAATTCTGATTGATTGAGTCAGAGTGAATGCAGTCATGGAAGTATAGCTGCTTCACAGGGATTTTCATCAGAAGGTATTTGGGTGACAGTAGAATAATTTTTACATGGGGGTTGGGGCAATTGCAGAGGATGCAGGAAATCTTCATGTTTAGTCTTTACTGCCCTTAGAAATTGCTAGTGAGTCAGTCCCATTAGGTGATCTTTCGTTCATGTATTTCTTTCTCCACACCTTAGCAAATAATCCTTGATTTGTAGAGAGATGTTGGGATCTATAAATTATAGATGCAGGTCTGAACAATATGAAAATGCAACACTGAGAGCGTTACTGAAGCATGGCTTTTGGGAATGAAAATCAGATGTTCTGGAATGTCATTCAGCCCTTCATCATCAAATACATTTAATATGAATTATTTAATTGATCCAAATCCAACTGTCTACTTCTTAAAAAGAATTGAAGATCACTTTACTTTTTACATGTCAGCAATAAAGAAACACCACAGAAATCTTTCTCAGATGTATTCTCCCTCCTGAACACATACTTTCATATTCCACCTTTCATAGTGTGATGATCTCAAACAAAACTGTAGAGACAGCAAACCAGATGATTTGGTTAGTACAGCAAACTTTCTAACCATACTTTTAGCTGAATTTACATACCTGTCAAAAATGACGGAGTTTTGCAAACACAGTGTGATGGTGCTGAAGTTCCAGCCCAACCCTCCCAGTGAAACCTGCCCATTCATCCTCTGTCTTCTCGCTTCCTTGCCTTTCTCCTAGGCAGGTTGCTTCCTGCATTGCCAGAGCAATTCCACAGGCTGAGTTGAAACATCTTTTATTTTCCTATCCAGTGAGGCTTTACTGTGTGCAGAGAGAAAAGATCAGAGGAAGGAAGAGGATTTTTGTTTCAGTTTTTGTGGGGTTTGGGAATTTTTGTTTCGTTCTAATGTTTAAAATATGTAATTTTGGGATAACATTTTAAAGTCTATTTCCCAGATTCTTCTTAGATGACTAGAGGTAAAATAATTATTTTCTTATGGTAGTTCTATTCTGAGTATGAAAAATCCAAGTCGTGATGCTCCAGGAAGTTGGGCAAAGCACTCCAGCTTTGCCAGCATTACTAGTTCTTTCTCTCCTTGATGCAGCATCAGTGCAGCTGACAAAATATGGCATGTATCTGTGCTGGGAGATTTGACCGGAGGCTTGTCATCAGGCTCCTGCAGGCTTGATATAATTGACTGTTTGGCTTTGACAGCCCTTTTCAGCAGTTGTATCAATTAACCCTGGGAACTGAGGGTTCCTCACACTAGCACAACACTCAATTCCACTCCCCTAGACAAGAACTTGATGGATTATGTGAAACAGGTTTCTTCTTGAATCACCTAATCAAACCTCAGTTTAAGATGAAGAAGAATTGGGGAACCCATTTTCCATAGTTCAACAACCAAATAAGAAAACGTTTCTAATAATTCAATAACTCTTGATCGTCCAGCTGCCAGCTGGCAAGTAAAAAGAGAAATATATATACACACACATCTTCTTTTATCCTGTGGTGTGTTTGGCAACCTTGAGTTGCTAAGAATAAGGGAAAAATGTTATTCTTTAATTTGAACCCACCTTCCTGGCAAATTAATCTCTGTCAGGTACACATCAAAGCAGAGATGCTCTTTCTCGGGTAATCTGAACGCTGCAGCACAAAAGAGCACAGAAATAAATTACAGCTGTGATCTGTGCAAAGACTCTAAAAAGCAATGTAGACATGAAACCTGGAAACCAAACATATGAGCTAAGGCAGCAAAGGAAGCTGTGAATGTATTCGCACTAAATCTTGCTTCTATCAAAAGCCTGAGTCAACCTATCAAAGAAATCCCATTAGTACCAAAGCAAGAGCCTAGATACAGATCCAGTGAACTACTACTGGATTATTTGCCTCTGCTTCAGGGATTTTTCTTCCATCTACAATTCACCGTGGATTTGTTTAACAGCAGGAACTGTTTGTTTAAAACCTCAGGTGTGCTTGATATTTTCTTTTTCCAAAACCATTTACAACCTCTATTTTTCTAAAGAAAAATAATCCCAACTGAGACAAAAAGCATTGGAGACTGAAGAAGGTTTGTTTTGATTTTTTTCCCTTTATCTCATTCAGTTATGTTTAATTGAAAAAATAGAAAAGTTCTGATAGCCTGTTCTTATGTTTACTTCTTACTTAAGGCTTCACTTGAAAAAAAATCATTTTAAAATAAGCAAAAACTTTTGAGAAGGAGAGCTGAAAGTTTGTGCCATAATCAACTTCTGCGAAAAGCATAGAAGTGTTTTTCACCAGGCTTTTAGCCAAAGATAGCTAACTCTTACTAATAACATATTCATACTCTGGGAGAAATCCAGCCTAGGGGGCTGAGCTATAGAGGCACTGGTCACCTGCAGCTCTCATCAACTTCAATGGGAAGTAGATGTCTCTGTAGATCAGAATTTACTGCAACAGAATTTCAGCCTCAGGATAAAATGAGACTTTTTAAAGAAATTTAATTTACAGAGAGAAATATGACTGCTTAGGGTGGTTGCAAGCTGCCATGTAAGGATCTCTCCAAAGGCCCAAGCCAGTGTTTGATGGAGTAGTGGCAAGGGTATCTACTTTTGTGGTTACAACTCATATCAACTGTTACTCTCCTTAATTTAAACAAACAAACAAACAAACAACAAAAAGCCCTAAACCAAACAAAACAAGCTTGACAATTGGAAGTGATTGATTTCCATCAGATACAGAAGGAAAATTAAACTCAGAGTATAAGGCACAATATGAATGGTACAATAGCTTTAGTGCTAGGGAATTACTGAGGTTCCCCATTCTTTGAATGGTCTTTATGTAGAAGTTACTGGTGGAAAATAAAAAATACTTTTTTGAATAAAAGATCAAGAATTTCTTCCAATCATACATGAAAATTGTAAATGTGCACATAAATACCTGTTTCTGAATCTGTTCTAAAAAGAAATTTAAGTAAAGCCTTGTAAGAAAAGGAAGGCAAAAGACGGCATGAGCCAAAAGGACTTGTAATTGCCCAAGTTTCAGAAATCAAACAGCTGGTGAAACAAAGCTCATTTCAATGTCAAAACCTAGATTACTTTCTCAGTAGATAGCTATTTTGGAGAAAATAATGATGGGGGCTGAACTGTGGTTAGAAACCAAGTGAAAAAACAAGGTCATTTATAGGACATGCTAAGAGCTAAATTTTCAGAAGTCCTGGATAATAATTTATTTCTAGTGTCATATTAATTCCACATTATTTATGATTTCTCAAGAGGGAGATGGACATATTTGGGAAATACTCTTTTCCAGTATTTTCATTTTTTCTGTCGTGTTCCGAGTTATAAACCTTGAGTATTGCAAAACTGACGTATCAGTTAAGTTACTGCTAAGCAAAAAATTTTTCAGAAATATATTTTTTACATGGAGTTCTGAGACTGTTTTCAAATGCAGGAATGTCAAAATTATTTTTAGCCTAAAGTGAAATAAAACAAGAAAAAAGCAAACCATGATATTCAATTATTTTCATTCCTCCATGACAGGTGTCCCTTCCTACAGCAGGCAGGGTTGGAACTAGATGATCTTTAAGGTCCCTTCGAACCCAGGAAGGTTGATTGATTCCATGATTTTTCAGAGCAAGCCATCACCCTGAGGACTGAGTAGACTGAGGACCTTTGACAAACAAGCTCCTTGTCATTGTAGTCATTTGCTTGGCCAGTTAGGACTGTGAAAAGTCCTAGCTAGCCAAGTCCTTCCTGAGACCTGAAGGTACCAGAGACATTGATCTTTCTTTTCTTCTTCCCTACTGTTGGTGCTATTCTTAGGGAGAAGCTGAGCTATAGCTTTTAGCTTCCTATGAAATTACCACATTGGTTCAGCAGCCTGAATCTGCTTTAGGAAACAGTAATCATGTTAAATCTGCTTTAATTTTAATAATAGGAGCAGGAAGGATGCATTTTGAAAGCCTTTGAAGGTAAGAGTTTAACACTGTGAGGATTACCAAGATAAGTATGGTTGAATCAGGCAAACCAATTTATGGCTGATTCAGTTTAATATCCTTATATATCTCCAACAACCATTTTACCCCTAAAGCGAGATGCCTTTTTTTTATTTTTATTTTATTTTATTTTTATTTTTAGCCAGTGTTTTTGCCAGTTCTTGGTCTCTGGCTTTTGTTCTAAAATCAAGAGAAGAACAGGTTTTGCAGCAGTAGGGACTGTAACCTTAGGGCACAGGGCCCTGTTCACATGAAAAGTTATTTGGGTCGTGCTTAGAGAATATTTTCTGGTTATGGTTAGATTTCATAGAATTATTAGAAGAAAAGGCATAGAATCATAGACTCATTAAGTTTGGAAAAGACCTCTAAGATTACATCTTGAATCCAATCTGTTTCTAAGCTCTGAGTGAAGCTGTAGACCAGGGATAGGTAAGGGTTTGCTTACCTTTTCCTGCTGAAGTTCTGTGCATTGACAGTGTTGAAGACTGAGTCTTGGTCTCATCTCCAAGAAAATATTTCCTGCATATAAAGCAGAACAGTATTAAGTGAGACATTACTTGCCAGTAGCCTGGTGATTTGGGAAGGTAGGACTATGGGGCTAAATGTCCTCAGTCAGGAGAGGGAAGAAATTTGTAGCTCTGTATGGTGTTTGGTCCCTGATTCACTGTCACTAGTGTCACAGGGGAGTTTTTGTGAGCATCTAGGTTGTCACTTTCTTCACTGATTTTGCAAGGACGCAATCTGAAAAGTCATTTACTTACGAGGCCCTGTCTGTAATAACTCTCAAGCAGTACTGTTAGTAGCAAGGGACATTGTGTTGTTCCCTGTTATCTTCTTCCAACAAATAGTGAACTCAATTGGCATGACCAGCTGGCATTTGTTATCACAATTACAGAATACCTCTGTTTCTTTCATGTTAAACCTTTTACCATGGTGCTTGAGTACCCTGCTTGCTACTGTCAACCTAAGGACATCAGTACATCAAGACTTGGTGGTAACAAGCGAACAAGGCTCCAAGTGTTTTGAACAGATGAACACCTACATTTTTTGTACATGTATGAGGGACCTAGCATGCCAGCTATTCAACAGTCCAGTCAATATTCTACTAGAGAATAGAGTCAACATGGACTAGTAAATGGTGAATTGAAAAGAGGAGAGAGAATCATGAGGTTTACACAAACTTCTCAGTCCAGGTACTGACCTGCTGTATGACTTCAGGCCACTCGTTTCTGCTCTCCTTTCCCTTCTTTCCTGGTTACTGAAGGATATGCATCTCTAGGGATACCAGACAATTTTTGCAGTGGACACCTAGTTGCATCTGTGGTGTCTCGGTCCTGTGTGCAAACACATCAAAATAATCCTTCTCTGTTTCCCAACTCAAGTTCTAGCCCAAAGACTGTCTACTCTGACTTTTTTTGGCTTTGCTCTGCTCTGACAGCCTGAAGCCTAAATCATGATTTCTGAGCCACGTAACTTTTTCATTAGAGAGAAAACTCTATCATCAGCCTCTGTGATTGCAGAAGGTCCTGAATGTAATCATCTACAGTAATTAGATCTAAAGACAGACCACTTGGGATTCTGTAATTCATGAAACTTCCAATATGTTACAAATAATAATTTGCTCAGTTTTAAAAATGATGACACTATCAAATATATATGAAGTATTTTAATGGCCTCACTGGGCCTTTATTTTAAGAAGACAAACAAAATAATACCCCGTTTACCTGATACTTTATCACAGACACCTGATAAGGGGCATAGGGACTTCTAATGTAGTGTAGGGAAGGGTAACGACAGGAAAGCAAAAAGCATTTGAACGTAATTAGTAGAATTTTCTTATGGATTAGTGCTTTTAAATCTGTTACCTCCACTCTACGAGCCTAGTTTAGCCTGGGCACCTTTATGAGTACTGTCTCATGCAGAGTCACTGGTGGTTAATAAGGCACAAGGTCACAGCACATCTTTGGGGACAACCACTACGAGGTTGCTCTTCTCTATTAATCCACCTCTTTTTGTGAAATTTTCAGAATTCAATTCCTTCATCAAGTTTGGTTGAACTTAGCCAGCAGGTTCAAAGAGTAAGGAGGGCTGCAGGATCAGATGTGGATGCATTATGCAGGAAGTGTCACTGCGAGAGCTTCAACTTTTACCAACTGGATAGTAATAACGAGAGAAAAAGAAGGCAAAGAATAGGAAAAGTTTTAAGATGTTTTCTAGGAAGCACATCACTAAGGGCTTTGTATATAGGGGTTTATGCTCACTAAGTTTTGGAGAATATCTTTTAAGAGGCAAGATGGTTCTCTGAGCCTGCAGACAGTTGGTTTTTGTTTGGGTTAAGGTTTGTTTTGTTTTTAATATTACAGGGTCAGATGCCTGAGGATTATACTCTAATTCTATAAATTGTGGGAAGAAGACAGGCTTTTACACGGATACTGTGAATTCCTTAACTTTCCAATTCTTGACTTAGCAAACCTAATTTCACTATTTTTTAAGGAGTTGTCTTTCTAAAAGACAAAAGTTTATAATTACCAACCATATAATGAATGTGTTTACTACACACTAATAATATTAACAAAGTATTTGAATAAGAATAATGTGGTTTAAAATACTTTTATTTCATATACATATGTTTTCAAATAATTTAAAGGAAAACCAATACTAAACAGTAAAATTCCTGTTATTGAAGTTTTAAAGAAAGTTAGAGAATGGAAGTAAATATTAGTGTGAGTTACAGTGCTGAATCAATTTTGCCAAAAATAACTTTTATTTTTCCCTATCTTCCTGTAAGGTACATAAGAATTTTTTTTCTTCAATACCATTTATTCATTAAGTTTAGGTCAATTTTTAATACAATAAAAGCGAAGAAATCCTGTGAGAACTGAAGAGAGAGCAATGCTGGAGTTTGGGTTTTAGGGGGTTGTTTTTTCTCCAGTAGTATTAAAGAGTAGTGGAAGGATGAGATCTATTAACTTAAAATGCAGAATAACACAGCAACCAATTTTTTAATAAATCTTTTGATAGTTAATATTACCTTTATTGAAGAACTTTACTGTAAACAAAAATGTACCTAGAGAAACTTAAATATTATATGAACCACAAATGTAATTATAAGTAATAAAAGAAAAAGTAATACTGATCCGTACTTTCAACTGAATTTCAGATTCTATGTGAAGAGAGTTAAACACAAGCTTAAGAAATACTTTGTTCACTTTTCCATCATAATGACAACGTAAAAACTAAAAAAAAGTGGTAGTGCATCCCTTGGCTTTGCACAAGGTATAGTATTAAGACTTGTTTATACAAAGGATTGTGTATTTAAATGTTTCATGTTGTTTGTGCACGTCCATGTGTATGAACCCATAAAAATGTTTTGTTACCTCTTTTTGAGCAAAAAGGCACAAATATCAGAAAACTTTGTGAGATGTGATTATCCATTTTCTCCAGGCTACTGAAATTGTAGTAAAAATAGGGGCATCAAAATTCATTTATGAATGTCTCTCATGTCGTGTAATTACAAGCACAAAATACTGCGTTGTGAGCAGGAAATTTATTTTTTCCTCAGAATGAGTCCATATGTACAGGTCTTGAACGGAATCTTCCTCACTCTCCAAAGGTTTCACTGTGCAATTTTTAGTGTTATTTAAGTGTTATGATTAAGATGGTAATAACATTTTTCTAGCAAAACCATCATCAGAGATGCCATAGGCATGTAAGAATAGAAAAGTGATTAAAAGTGGTAGAAATTGTAGGCACCTCATACACAAAAAAGCAACCTGTACTTCCCTCTCTCTTTCATGGAGCTAGAAGGGAACTGTTACTGTGGTGAAATATGTCCACTTGAGTCTCCACAGACTTGCAGGACAGAGAAATTGATCTTCTCAAAGAGAGAGATTTTCAGAGCTTTTTTTAAGAAACTTAGTCTTCTTTCCAACATTTTGAAACAAGCCACATTACGGATACCTTTAATTAAGATATTTTATATTAAATTAAGTATTTTATTTCTATTTGTTTTGCTTCACCTCCAGACATCGGCTTAACCCCACACAGTCACTTGTTCACTCTTCCCTGGTGGCATAAGAAAAAAGAATCAGAAGAGTAAAAATGATAAAACTCATGGGTTGAGATAAAGACACTTCAATAGGTAAAGCAAATGCAGCACACACAAGCAAAGCAAAACACGGAATTGATTCATCACTTCCAGTGGGTAGGCAGGTGTTCAGCCATTCCCAGAGAAGCAAGACTCCATCACATAATGGTGACTTGGGAAGACAAATGCCATCACTCCAAATGTGTCCTCTCACTCTGCTATTTTTCTGCCAGCTTTGTATGCTGAGCATGATGCCATATGGTATGGAGTACCCTTTAGGTCAGTTGGGATCAGCTGACCTGACTGTGTCCCCTCCCAGCTTCTTGTGCACCCTATGCTTCCTTGCTGGTGGGGTGGGGTAAGGACTAGAAAAGGTCTTGGCTCTGTGCAAGCACTGTGCAGTTATAAGGAAAACTTCCCTGAATTATCAACACTGTTGTCAGCACAAATCCAAAACATGGTCCCATATCAGCTACTGTGAAGAAAATTAACTCCACCCAAAAGTCAAAAGCAGCACAGCATTATATTTTGTTTAATAATAAGGGAAATATTCAGTTAAAGGAGGAGTTCCTCTAACATAAATCAGTAGCAGCAAAAATCTGGTTTAAAAGATGTTTCACAACGTTATGACATCTAAAGTTCAAATCTCCCCTTGGTCTACAGAGATTTTTTTGTATTACAAGTAATAAGCAAAACTCAGAACAAAATTCATTATTTATTTCCCAGCATGCAAACTGCGATTTACAGAAGTGTAACGAGAGTCCTTGTACTGAAGATCCTAAACTTTAAGTGACAGAAGGTTTTTTAAGTTTCGTTTTCACGCATGAAAAGTAGAAAAAATGCTATATCAGTATTTGTAAAAAACTAAATAATTTAAAAATAATAGTGAAGAGAACTGAAAGTACAGATTGTGTAATACTGTGTAATATTTCTTCAATAATTACTTATCAGTCAACTAAAGAGGAATCAGATAAGTGAAAAAAGAGAACTGTAAAACATCTTCAGTGTCCTTTGACAAGTGGCATAAAGAAAACAGAAGAAATAAATAAAAATAAAAAGATGAAAGCTAACCTAGTTTAAAAATAGTTATGGAAGCTTGCTTTTTTTTTTTTAAGACTTGTTTAAATTCCTTGTTTATAATTGAGCTTTCAAATATACAATTTGTTAGAGTCATATCTACTTCAGCTTTGTCTCTTTCTTTCTGTCTTCAGATTGACTGTTATTTGAAGGCCTTATTTTATATGGCTGGACAAATACTACTGCACAAATTGCTATCTTTTGAAGGCTGTGATGTGAACCTGCCTGAACAACTGCTACTTTAGCACAACAATAAAAAATACCTTTCATATAACAACTCTCTTCCTTTCAGGAGGAATAACGAAATGAAGCAAAATAAAAAGGCACAACTAACCCTTTTCCCAGAGTAGTCATGCTTTGGGGATGTCTTCCCCCCCTCACCTTCCAGAATTTCAGAGCTACTGCACCAGTATGGGCACATGCAGCACACATCCTGGGGCATTGCTCACCATAATCACATCCTGTCCTCTCCATGGACTCTGCAGAAACTCTGCAGATACACCAAAGCAAATCTTGCTGCTGTGTGGGGTTTTCTAAATACCCCTGGCCACTCCCCAGTTTCACCACAGCTCCTCTTCTCTTCCCCCTGCCCTGGGGAACATGCCATGCGGCTTCCTCCTCTTTTCCTCCCTGTCTCCTCACTGAAGACAGGGAACACTTCTTTCAATAAAATAGGAAAAATGGGGCATGATCCCTGCATGAGATCATGGGAAGGGATGCATGTTAGGTGATTTCCCTGGTTTGTGGGAGCTATGTGCCTACACTGAGGAGAGTATGTGCATATCCCAGAACTCAGTTTATCCCTATGTTAGGCTAAAAGTGGTTGTCTTCAGTGCTCTTAGATGTCCAGATCAAGTGTCAGCCTGTGAGGTTTTGAGTTTATATTGTAATTAATCAGTCAGACAACCAATTTTAACTTGGTAAAAAATCCTACATTTGAGTTCATAGAATCATAGAATTAGCTGGATTGGAAGAGACCTCTGAGATCATCAAGTCCAACCTTTGATCCAACCCCACTGTGATTACTAGATCATGGCACTCAGTGCCACATCCAGCCTCATCTTAAAAACCTCCAGGGATGGTGAATCTACCACCTCTCTGGGCAGGCCATTCCAATGCTGATCACTCTCTCTCTGTAAAGAACTTGTTTCTAATATCCAACCTAAACGTTCCCTGGCAGAGCTTAAGCCCGTCCCTCTTGTCCTACTGCTGATTGTCCGGGAGAAGAGACCGACCCCCACCTGGCTTGTTCAACAGTTTTTCTTGTTCACACAAAGGTCACTCTTAAAAGGTCACTCAAAATTTTAGTCCCCCCATTCTCATGGACTAGATGTTTAATTAAGTATTTCTGACTAATACTCAGCTATTTTCAGCATGGATGTCCACTCTCACTGTCTTGAGCCTGGCCTAATGGAAATGGTCATTACACCTATTCAACTTAAGCTATTCCTCCCCAGAACCATTTTTACTTCAGCTACTGAGTTCCTTTTTGTTTTCCATTCAACTGCTTCCTAGTAAAATTAGGCTAATTCCTAGTAAAAATAAGCTAAAATCAGTATACAGTTTTGTGTACACTGCAGCTCTTTTTTAGCTAATACCAAGTTCTCCTCATGCAGACAAGGCGCAGCAGAAGGGAGTCTTGAACAGGATGCAGAATTTGATTCTCATTCAGACACACAGTTGTCCTTTCTGCTGTTGACTAGGAGGCGAGCAGAGCGGGGAAACTTGGAGCTGTGTTTTTAAGCCATGTTTGCGCTGTGAATAAACAAGACCTCACATATTATACCAGAAGTATACAACTCTCACTGGCAGCTGCCTTCAGATAACAGATTTTCGTTATTCACTCTCCTCCTAGTTCAGAATTCACACTGAAGAAGACATCAAACATTTTTTACCTATCTGCCGTTTATCCACTTAGACTATAAAATACTGCAATTTGATACTATGACATTAACGAAGTGGTCAGATGTCAGTTTTGCAAGGGTCTTAATGTTGGGTACAATGCATCATTTAGTATACCTACAAATCTAAATAAACAGAGGCTGAACTCAAATGAGAAATCTTTTAGAAAACTAAAGGATATTGACTTCTTACTTTGCCCAGTAGGCTAGGATGAGCTGCAGTTTGTTGTTACAAAAGTGCTCTGAGGCTTTGCCCTTCTTGTTACAGAGCAGCACCTTGAACCTTAAACCTCAGCTGATCTGTGTGCCACCTAACTACACATGGGAGAGGCAGAGCTCCTATAGAGTCCTGGATGCAGAAGGTCTCCGATTTCATACCAATTTCACCTGGGAACATGTGAAAATGTCAGAATCATAAATTGGCTTCTCTCTGCTCATTATCCCTGACATAGCATTGCCTTCCAAAGGCTCCTGTTTCCTTCTGCCTTGCTCTAGCCGCAACAAGGTGGTAAGGTAAGGTCCATCATTCAGGTTGTTCTTCTGGAATTAATGATGTGGTGTATCAGCTGCTCACCTCAGGGTTTAAGCTATGTAAGGCATAAAATTACTGGGTTTAGACAAGCTAAAGATTCAATTATTTATTCAGAGGTAATGATACGACAATTTGAAGGCAAGTACTTTCTAATGATTATTAGTTAGGTAATGAAAAAAGTCTACCTTAACTCCTTAAGACTTTGTCTAGAAACCCCATAGCAATACGGAATTTCATTTTATTAGTGTAATGTATGGAAAAATTTGACCTCATATCCTTCAAAACTTTAGTCTTGTATTTTGAAGTTTCAGTGAATTAAAGCATTATTTAGCTGACAAACATCTGACTGGAAGATATGAAGTGGTGTCAGTAGAAATATTTTTGAAAACTAGACAGGACTCATAGTTTTTAATATCGATAAGCGAGCAGCCAAAAGAGTTTAGCACCTGCATCTTCCTGGCTAGATATTTAAGTGTCTAGGTTTGCACAAATAACAGCCGCTCATGAAGGTACTTAAACAGTGAAATATTAATATTGAGCAGATTTTCATAGCTCTCCTGAGTACTCATATTGCAGTGCTGCGGTTCTAATGGGGGAAAAAAACAAAAACAAAAAACCAAAAAAAACCCCACACCTGAAAATTTTACCTAGCCTAAAAATTTCAGTTATAGTGCCAAGTACATTGAGAAATCCAGCCGTAGTCACAAGTAGGGCACAGCCACCTGCTAAAGAGCTATGGCAGCAAAGGGTTAGTGCAGCTGGGACTACTCTGGAACATCTGTAAAGCAAAACTCAGAGAAGATTATACTCGTATGTCACCTAATGCAGCTTAAAAATAAATAACTACATAGATAAATAACCTTTTGCAACCCAAGCCCTTGTTCAGATCTTGAACAAAAGCACCTCTAGCTTTTCTTCTACATTTCTGTCCCAACAGAATTTCAGCAGTCATCTTCATAACAGACGATTCGGTCCCTCTTTTTTTGGTATCAAAAAACCATAAAGCAGAAAAATGCAATTATATTCAATTACAGGCGTGTTCACCGGCCACCTGAAAGCGTAAGTATCTCAACTAATAAACCACGTATACCGCTTCGCTGCTAGGACGGGCTAGCGGGAGAGCGCTACAGCGGAGTCCTGTGCGATAATGATGCGGCGGCGCGGGCGGGCGGGCAGGCACAGCTCACCTGTCCCGGCCCAGCGCTGTTCAGCCGGGCGGGCGCGCAGGTGTGTGCGGCGGTGCCAGCCTGGCAGCGGCGGCGCGACTCTCACCGCGGG